AGAAACCCTTTCTTGTCTTTTCTTTCTACCCCAGTAATGGAACAAAAAAATAAAAAACTCGTTCATTTTTTTCTCTTCAATTTCTATAGGGTTGAATAAAAATTCGATTGACCATTTGATATAATTGCTATGCTTAGTGTGTGACTCGTTGGTTTTTTTAGGGTTAGGATTCAAAAAAAAAAAGCCAGCCCCCATAGTATGAACTAATAACTATAGAACGAATAACCAACTCATCACTTCGTATTATCTGGATCCAAAAAACCAGTCAAGATATGATATATTGGTCATATCATTGTAGCAACTGAAATCTGTTTTGCATAAACAAAAAAAATCTGATTCTAAGTTGTAAAGCAAAATATAGAAAAAGATGTGGATAGAAGGGTGAAAGAAAGAGAGAAAAATAATATCAATGATATAGAATTCCAATATGGAAGGTGTATGGGTCATCTCAAAAAGGCAATGTAATAAAGCATCAATACAGATTCATCCATAATTAAATGAATCTGTTCATAGAATAGAGAATAGAACAAAAAAATCAAGAGCCTCGAGCCAATAAAGACTGAGAAGATTGACTCAAGAACAACTTTCATTAAGAGCTCCGTTGTAGAATTCAGACCTAACCATTAAACAAGAAGCGATGGGAACGATGGAACCCGTGAATGCAGAAAATTCTATTGAAAACGAATCCTAGTGATTCATTGGTCGGGATGGCGGAAGGAACCGGGAACCAATTTATCTATTCTGAGAAGTCATGAGCTAACCCTACAACTCAAATAGATATAGAGTAAATATTCGCCCGCGAAAACTTTATTTTCTTAGATTACTAAATTTGGGGCAATCCGATATGATAAAAGACAAAACAAAAAAAAGCTTCGTTATGTTATAAAAACAATATTATCTATAAATAAAAATATATATATGTTTAGATCCAAAATATCCAAACAAGGTATACAAATTACTAATAGATTAGATGAAATCTCAAAGAATCCAGCGATTGAATCTGTTATTCATTAAATATGTATATCTTAATTCAAATTAAATATTTTGAATCATTTTTTTATTCGCAAGGAGCTGGATGAGAAACTCTCACATCCGATTTTGTAGAAGAGATGGAATTTAGAAAAAGACCATCAACTATAACCCCAAAAGAACTAGATTCCGTAAACAACATAGAGGAAGAATGAATGAAATATCTTATCGAGGTAATCATATTTGTTTCGGAAAATATGCTCTTCAAGCACTTCTCGCTTGGATCACATCTAGACAAATAGAAGCAGGGCATCGAACAATGACACAAAATGCAGGTAAATTAAGGGGTAAAATTGAAAACAAAATGTCCTTCAAAACAAATAAAAGGACTTCTCACCAAACTATTTCATAAAAGATGGATCTCTCACCAATAAAAAATATACACTGGACCTAATGTCTTATACCATCCTTGGATTAGATTTATCATCAAATTACTATTTTATTTATTTATTTATTTATTATTATTCATTTAGAATGGTCTTCAATAAAAAATAATTTCCTAGAGTTCAATAGGGTAAAATATGCACCATGTAATTATCTACACGGTAATTAAACTTCAGGAAAAATGTAACCACACCACCGAACCCAATTATAGTTTCCCTCCAATGAATATCACCCTTTGGGAATCTCCATAATGCATTTTATTTGAAAGGCCAAATTTTATTTTGATCCATATGCAGATTATACTCCTCTTATTTGAAAATAATCATAAAGTCCTTTCATAATTTGTAAACTGAAATATACTATTAAGTCAATTAAACATTTAATATTAAAAAAAAAATAAAATATTCTTATATATAAGAAATCTAAGTATCTGAACTATGAATATTTTTGTTATTAGCTTCGGAAGCAAAATACACTTTAACCACTTATCCTTTATTCCATATGCTCCTTAAATTTTGAAAATGAGTATATAATCTCTTTATATTTGGCATGTGTTTCACATTTACTGTTAAGAATATTTAACGGTTCATTTTAGTTCACAAATCACAAAGGGTTATGTGATTATTTTCAAATGGGATGAGTAATCTGTTCATAGACAAAAAGATAAGAGTATAAAGTGAAATTTATCATATTTAAAAATAGTTATAATTGTACATTATTCTATAATTTCTACAGTGTAATTATGTACAAGGTAGTTAGTTTTTTTTTTTTCTCTCATGCATTTTTTTTCTTTTCAATTAAATTTAGATACAACAAAGTAGAAAACTGAAGGAGAACAACCGTTTAAACTCCATGAAAACCAAGAGTTGAGAAGCTTCAATGCTTGACCTAGGATTTATCTATCAGTGAACTGCAAGATAAAATCAAGCACAAATGAAAAATCCAAAAATGAAGATTTAAAACTTAATAGCAAGTACATCCCTTCTCTAGTCTCTCTCCACCATTGCCACCACATCTTCCCTCCTAAACCACCCCCGTTGCTGCCTTCTCTCCCCTAAACCAACCCTGCCCCGAGGAGATGGAACATCAAACAAATTTGAAAACTTTTAAGTTTTCGGTTCATTTGCATGTTTATTTGTTTGTTTTTTGTAATCTATTAGCTAGCAGAGGATCGTCCCTAAGCACATATGTGATTGTCTTGTAGATATGGACTCACATATCTCCAACCTAGATTCTAATTGACCACCAAAATTAGTGGAATTAAACACCATTAAATTTGAAATTAAGTTTAAGAGTTGAATGAATATAATTTCTAATTAAGTTTAGAAAATTGATAAGTGTTTCAAATTAAGTTTAAAAGGTAGTAAATTGGAGTTAAATTGATACTTATAAGGTTTAAAATTATATATATATGCAAGAATAATGTAAAAGAAGACGAAGGAGGATATAAATGACTTTTTCTTGTTAACTTTAACGAAATTAATATTGTGATTTCGCTCTAGTTTATAGGGAAAGTCTCTACTTATATTTGAATAATAAAAGGGTAAATTGCTCAAGCCTTTAACCATTAGGGGTAGACATCGGCCCATTGGCCTGGCCAACCTACTCGGCTCAGCCCTATTTTTCTAGGACTTAAGAAGGTTACCCATGAGGCCAGGCTGTACTGACATTTTTAGCCCGAAATATTAATGGGTTGGGTTTGGAATTTATACTTTCAATCCAGCCTGGCCTGGCCGGCGTGCTATTAAATTAATTAATTATTTATAATACATTAAAATATATATTTTTTTGTTAGGATCTAGACTTTATTTTTGTTGATTTTATTGAAACTTATATTTATGGTGAAGTGTGATTGAATTTATTTAAGAAATCCTTGAATTTATACACAAAATCCTTTAATTTATAATGATATCAATATATTTATTTAAGAAATATAATGTGTGATTGAATTTACCTATGGAATGATTTAGCTTTTTTTAACATACAGCCCGACGGGTGAGCTTAGGATTTATAATTATTTTTTGGACCGAGTTTAGACATATCATAAAGGCCCAATGTTAGAACCGGGTCAGACTTCAACAAATACAAAATCCCTAATTATGTAGTGCCGTTCTGGCCCGAAATCGGCCCGGTCCTATGTTTGTCTACCCCTATTAACCACAAGGGAATAAAATTAATTTTATCCTAATTTTTATGTTTACCATACTAAATTTCAACAATAATAAAATATAGGGTTAGTTACACTTTTCACCCTAATAGTTTGATTCAAATTTCACTTTAATTCCTATAGTTTGCAAACTTCACTTTACCCCCTAGAGTTTGGGTTATGTGCGGGTTACCTCTAACGTTTGGAAATAACCACATAACTCCTACGTGATTTGTGGACTGAAGTGCACCGTTAAACATTTCATCCAACTTAACAACAAGTGTGAAACATATAACATAAGAGGGTTATATATTCATTTTCAAATTTCAAGGAGGTAAATTGCACATAAAATAAGCACAAGGGGTTAGAGTACATTTTATCTTCCAAACAAATGTAAAAAATATAGGAGTATTTTAGTTTTTTTATTAAATCGTTAACAATCCTAACAGTAGTCTACAAATCACAAGAGGATTATGTGGTCATTTCCAAATGTTAGGAGAGCAAGCCACATATAGTCCAAATCACAAGGGGGTAAAGCAAAGTTTGCCTTAGTTTCAATTTGAATAATTGGTGTGTTTGGTTTGTGTCTTCAAACATGTTTTTGGACGAAAATTTTCAAAAACATGTTTGGTTACAAATTTTCTCAAAAAAATTCTAAAATTACTTCTCTATTACACATCAATCAATCACTTTTTCTCTCTTCTCTCTCCTTCTTAATCACTTTTTCTCTCACACGTATCAACTCAATTACAACAAAATATCAAATTATCCCAAACTCCCAAACTTCAAAACTATTTTCAAAATATACAATCAAACAAACCAAAAAAAAATTTAAACTCTCTTCCCAATCTTTTTTTTTTAAAAAAATCTTATCTCAAAACACAGGCCAAACATACCATTGATTTGTACACTTTAAGTCTAGTTTTAATTTGGTTATTCCATCTAAATTTTTGATAATTTTGTCTACGTGTACAACTTAGAAATATGATAAATGTTCCAAAATTATTACTTTTAACATTCAATTTAAACGGAAGAACCAAATTGAAACCTTAAAAAATTGACAAGTGTTCCAAAATTGTCAATTTTGATCTTCAATTTAGATGAAATGACCAAAATAAAACTAAACTTAAAATATGAGAACTAAATTATTTAAATTAAAAATGTATGGATTAAAATAAAATTTAAATCAAATTACAAGAGTGAAAAGTGTAATAAACCCTAAAATATATAATACACTGCTGAAGTTGCCTTTCAAATTACAATGAGTCATATCTAGAAAAAAAAAAATTTACAATGATAAGTCATAATTAATCCAACAATAGGTCATAATCATGTAACGCAAATGTCATAATTAGAATTGCATGTGATACACCATATAATTTTCCTACTAATAAACATTGAAAGGGTAATTTGTGAACAAATTGGGCCGAGCTAGGAAAAATCTTCTTTGGGAGTTGGGCCGCGCAATAGGCCAAGATAAGAGCTGGTGTAGCTCGGTTTTAGGCTAAGAAGACACTAGGCCGGTCAGAGATGGGTTGTTAGGGCCTAGACCTAGCTATCTGAGGGTAGTCCTTTATTGGACAGAGGTGTTGTCAATAAAGAGGGCCGAGCTATGTGCAGCTCGGCAGGGTGCCATTCGGTAGATCGGCTTCCGGTCACACGACCCGAGCCATAGGAGACCGAGATAAGGCAGCTCAGTTAGGAATGCATATATGAGCACGAGGGTATGGCCATCTCACTTGGCTTGCAGTGATAAGGGTGTTTTAAGAAGAATCTTTATCTTTGGGCATGAGACTCCTAGGAGGACTTTGCTAAGAAGAATAGAGTCTTACTAGGATTGTGCAAACCATCTCACTTGATTGGTAGTGAGTAGGGTGTTATCAAGATAGGCATTATCCTTGGGAGTGTGATTCCTAGGACGACTTCTTATAAGGAGAGTGGGAGTCCTACTAGGATTGTACCAGGTGGAATCTATAAAAGCTCATAACAGGACCTATGTACAGGTATCACAATTCTTATTCTCAAATACACAGAGCTTTTATGTCTATTATCTATTCACTAACTTGGGCATCGGAGGGGTTTCCGATACACACTTGCCGGCTAG